TATATATATATATATATATATATATATATATATATATATATATATATATATATATATATATATATATATATATATATATATATATATATATATATATATATATATATATATATATATATATATATATATATATATATATATATATATATATATATATATATATATATATATATATATATATATATATATATATATATATATATATATAGTGTAATACCTATGTGTTTAATGAAGGTGGTCATTTGAGATGAATCTGGAAGGAATTATATTCGGACACAAGTTATTTTCTTTTGATAATTCAGTTAAGTATTTAATTATTTGTTTGTTTGTTTGTTTGTTTATTTATTATATAAATTGTTATTTTAATTTTTTTATCCCGTAGTTTTAGGTTATGAAAAATATTCACAATATTATTTGTAAAGAATTTTTGATCAAACAAATTTGTATTAAAAAAAAATTACATAAACGGTCAACCTTTTTGGGCTAATTCTATAAGGTTCTTGTGTTCTTTTGGTCCATTAACAGCTTAGTTCCCCATTCATTAAGAACACAAGCAGCATGAACATACTTCAAAATGTGGCCTTTCTATAGTCAAGCCTTAAAACAACAACAGGATGAGTAAACACTGACAACATTTTCATTCTGGGTGAACTATAAAATCTAAAAGGAAATGTATCACACCCGGCATCATTGTGGTGACAAACTGGGCTTAGCTCAGGTGCAGCAAATTGTCTTAACAAGGCGCATAATAAGTGGAATAGACTCCATCTGTGTCCGCTGATAGTGTGTCAAATGGTTTAAAAACACCTGTGAGAGAGACTCACCTGTCCATGACTGCTCTCTCAATCAAAGCAAGAGCGTCCCGAGCAAATGCCAATTATAGGATGCCGACCGATACCTGGAGAACAGCTTGATCGAATTAAAATAATTCACAGATCATCGGAGAAGTATGAAAATGTCATTGACACTGACTCCTGCGTTTTGGATTCTGCGAGTTTATAAGGATTGGAAACTATAGGACTCACAGGTGCGACAACCTGAAGTCCTCCAGGGATGTTTGCGATGTGCTGCTGTAGTCCTTGTTAACAAGGTGGTCTCCAGCATCGCCTGAAGTGATTATCTATGCCTTCCTAACTAGGTGCCTCTATGGACCTGTGGGCAGAATAGCAGATGTGTGCTCATATTTGGGTACCAGAAATCCAAAGATGCAGTGCAGAATGTGGTCATTGTCTGACCCATCTGGCCAAAATCACTGGAAAATTAAGTAATAGTTCAGCCAAAAATGAAATCGGCATTATTTACTCACCCTCATGTCATTCCGAAGATGGATGACAGACTGATTTCTCTGGAAAAAAGAAACGAAGATGTATTATTATCGAAAATAATTCTTTAAATGAAGGGGGAAATACAGGATACATTTTAGTATGTGTCAAAAATCAAGGCCTGAAGTCTAATAAACCAGTGGTCCCCAAACCCTTATAGCCAACATAGGCTCATTCTGAAAACGTAACCTTAAATACATTTCTGGAGATCGCGAATTATGTAGCCAGAAGTACGTATGGCTGCATTTCGTTTTTAAAACAAACACTATGAGGCGATGTACCAGCTGACCGCTTACCTCCGTAAAGAAAGCATTCCCACTGTTACCAGTTTGTCCAGTTAGCTCACCATGTATGTCGGTGGACTCCCTGGAGAGGAGTTGGCCATGTCGACTGGGTTCAAGTCTGGGAAAGAACGGTTCCAGAAAGCGGGTAAGACAAAAACAAAAGCCAAAAAATAAAATAAACAAGTAAATAACAGAGTGAGAATGTGGCAAAATCTGAAAATGTGGTAAAAATTAGGCTTTTCTTTTTCTGGAATGCTTTTTAAAATTGTGGGTTGGGTTTAGGGAAGTGGGTGGCTTTGGGTCAATCGGTGCTTTTGAAAATACTATTGGTTGGGTTTAGGGAAGGAGGAGGGTGGGTCAGTCGATCAGTCAATCAAACAGTCAGTCTGACTGATGGATTTACGCAAGAACAGCAACCGAGAATGGCATTAGCAAGAGAAATTTGAGATATGTTTTTAGAATGAGCCTTATTATCGCGGACCGTTCAATCGAGTTTTTTCAGATAAAGACAAGCTGACAAATGCTGCAACTCTGATACATGTTATGCTTATGAAGAAAATTAGAAAGCACTGCAGTGGTTGTCTGAGATAATTAGTCCTCCGAAATCTGTATATTCCATACAAAATATGAAGCTGATCTCTTAGTTCTCATCACGTGACTCATAGGGCTCTATTTTGACAGTCCATGTGCAGAGCGCAAAACGCATGGTGCAAACGCTTTCAGGGAGTGTCAGGACACATTTTTGCTGATTTAAGGACGGGAAATCTGCCTTGCGCGGCGGCGCATGGTCTAAAAGGGTTGAGTTTATTTTCTTAATGAGTAATAGGTGTGTTTAGAAAATAAACCAATTAGAGTCTCATCTCCCATTCCCTTTAAGAGTCAGCTGCGTCGCGCCAAGAGCGCATTCGCTATTTACAGGACGCAAAGTAAGTCTAAGTGGAAAAAATGAGCATTTCACAAGCAAACAGTAAACAGTTTTTTTAACAGAAAACTATTAAACAGAGCATCTACTGCGTGAGAATGAGAGATAAATGATCTACTTTCACTTTCGCTCTTGGAAAAACCTCTTGGGAAACCTTTATGCACAGACATCAATTAGCCTATAAATAAATAATTTTGTTTGTTAAATATTTCGTTTCAGAACTATTTCTAAATTCAGTTCTAATTTCCAGCAAACGAATAAATGAACAATAATAACAAAATGAGCTCAAAAACCTGAGTTATATCCTAAAACACATGCTGTGCCCCATATGGTCTAAAACCCGACAGGTGGGCAAATCTAAGCTTGTTTTTAATAAAACAAATATAAATATAATAAATAATACTGCTAATAATAATAACATTATACAAAAGCAAATTGTTATGAATGAACTGAAAAAGCCTCCCGAGATGAAGAAGGCATAAAAGCAGTGATTTTTCATATTAATGTAGGCTAGAAAATAATATGTTTTGTAATATTTAATCCTTTATATTTATATCCTATATCTATTCTTATTATATCCTATATATATCCTTAATATTTAATTTTTTTCATATGTAAAGATATTTGCCTATTGCTCTCTTGTGCGTATTAAGCAGTGTGTAAGCGAGGCGCAACTCTGCGCTGGAGTTTAGACCGGGTTAGTTTTGGTCTAATGAAAAATCTATTATAGTTTCTCAGAATAGCAACGCGCCAGCGGTCCGCCTCAGAACACCTTCCTTTTCAGACCAGAACGCCTATGGACGCACAAATGAGCGCTAATGCATTTACTATTTAAACAGCGTAGCGCAACGCCTCAAAAGACTCTTGCGCCAAGCTGAAACTACCAAAAGACTATTGCGCCGTGTCTTGCGTCACATTGCGCCGGGTGTATGATAGGGCCCATTGTGCGCTCGCAGCATTCTGAAGATGTTTTCAACTGAGTGTGGCTGCAAGGTGCGAGAGCGCTGTGCTGCTTCCGTGCGTCACTCCCAATTACGCATAGGACAATACCTGGTTTTAAGGTTTACTGCAGTTTGGCAAAGTCAAGGTTTTGTAAGGTATATGTATGTTTTCTTAATGTATTTTTTATGTGTTATAAAGAAATCTGTGTTTTTGAGACTAATCAAAAGAGCAGAAGCCAATGACTTATTTTAACTATTTAGCCTGACATGTTTACGGTTCCAAAATATTATAAATGCTTTATAAAATGATATAAATTGTGTTAAATGGGGAAAAAAAGCTTTTTTTTTACCCAGACATTTAAAATTAACATATTTAAGAGCAGTAATTACAATACCATGAAACCATGGTATTTTTATTCTAGGTTATCATACCATAAGAAACTTATACCGACCCATGCCTTCTCCCAATATGTGCGCACAAGCCACACACCTCCATTGGAAATAACAAACTTTTGCAATAAAAGACGTGATATATGATCTCTAGCAATTGATCTTCCTGCACAGACTTGCTGGATTCACCTGATTTGTTGACAAATGGGTTGCGGATCCATACCTTTAGCCATTCATGGGTCCTTCACTGGGCCATTTCCCCTTCACAAAGAAATTTTCCAAAGACATCTGTTCTTTCATTTTGCTAGCTTGTGGATTAAATTTGGTGCTCAAATAACCAAGATGTAACCGAGAGAATACGGTCAGTTTTCAAAACAAAAGATCGTTCAGATTCAGATAACAAATAAAACGGAAATAAATACCGATTTATTGTGCGGCCTGGTACTAATTGAGGGGCTCGGGGTTTGGGGACCACTGTAAAGTTTCAATGTTTATTTAAAGACAAGTCAAGACTCTCTTTTTGAATTGGTCAAAATGCTAGTATTTTTCCAGCAATAAAATAATATTATAATAAAAATTATAATTTAAAAAAGATCATGAATAATGAATGAAACTTTGAATAGACCAGTGTTAAATCATCACAATTATTTATGAGATCATATAGTGTATTATAGGGTGCATAATTAATAAACTAAAATACTTTTATAAGGCATTTACTACTCAAAAACTGCCCTTTATACATTTTTACACTGTATAATCTGCACTTTTGTCCCCTATTAGATCCTGGTTTCTGGCAAGTTCAAAGCAGATAAAAATATATATATATATTAGCAAATGATCTGAATCAAAACGCATGATCTACCCCACCTAGCAACAGCACTTACCGCACCTATTGAAAAACAATAAATAAATAACACAAGTGTGTATGCGAGCACAGTGGACGTCAAGGATTAACAAATGTAAATGAGTATACTTTGATGTTGACTGTGTGGGATGGGATAAGATTTTCTGTACTGTGGGATTTTCTTTACTGATTCCTCAACTTTGCAATAGCAGAGGTTAATCTGTCTTAGACGCATTGTACAGCGTTTTACATGCCGAATATATATCCGCGATATTAAAAGGAGCACGCCAAAAGCCTGAAACTCTCCTAACAAACTGCGTCTGTCTATCACGTGGAGATTGGTCTTTAATACCGCCGTGCTACAATGTGCCCGTGCTATTCAGTGGCATACTTGAGAGTCCAAATAACCCTCTTATTAATGTGGATGACAATGTTTTGATTGCATCCAATATGGCACACTGAATCAGCATGCAAATGCCCTTTGAGCAAAACAAAGACATTGATTATGAGGTAAGTTTCTTCGGCACAAGTAGCCCGCTTGGTGTGATTAATCGGCCTGTGCCATTGATTTCCCTTTGTTTAGATCTTTGCTAACTTTTCAGGAGATACAATTATAATTTGTTCGCTAACAATAAATCCAATCTAGCGTGCTCAAAGAAAACCTTAATAAGGTCTTCCGTGTTATTTGTCCTTTCAACAGCCAACTGAATACATCTGAAGAGAGCGGGGAAAAAAACAGGTCGGTCTCCTGACAGTGTTGATTTGTTTGTTTGAAACGCGCCTCGACAGTATTTCCAAACAGAATGGAGCCTAATACAGGGAAACTAGCCTGAAAAGATGACTGGAGATGTCTGAATCATAATGCCACAAGTTCAGATCCGACCTGCGGGTGTGTATTTCAGCCGTTTGTTCAGGGCTCGGCATTGTCACGTTTTTGCGGCGTGCCAACAAAAGCATCAGATACATCAGAGTTGGGGCGATACAATGTACTATTAGCATTTGCAAGTCAAATGCACGTGTTCCCATCAAAGTGCTCCATCAAAGAGCATTTGCAACGTTCCTCAGATTTAGTTACTTTGAAAACTCACCCCCCCAGATATACAGAGTCTCTCTCTGACTTCTCGCATCATCTCTCCAAGACATTGATAATACGATTTCAGTGTTTCTTTTTTTTTTCCCTTTTTTTTTTTTTTTTGCTGTTGAGAAACAAACTGGATTATGAAGAGATCACTACATAAACAGCTTTCTAAAAGGAGCCAGCTATTTTAAAAGAGGCTGAAGGAATGCAAAGAGGGATTTAAATTTTAATTTGAATTTATTCCAGCAAGTGAAAGGTTCTTTTGAGAGGGGATTTCGGCAAAGATGACGGTATTTAAAAGTGATAAACAAGCATCTAAACCTCCAGTAAAATGCAAACATTTCTTCTTCTTTCGAACACAGAGGCGAAATAGGGCTTGCTATGGTCACAGCTGTCAACCCACAACAACATGAAATGTAAACTGCAGCATCTTGAACAGATAAGCGCTGCGCGTGCACACACTTGGAAAGTTTTTGAGCGTTTCTGAGCGCTGCAGCGAGTTTTTTGTGGTTCACATTTAAGACTGTACAAAAACATTCTGTTTACAATAATAAATCTGAAGTGAAAAATAAATATTAGAATAAAAAAAATTAAT